ATGCTGCACAATTTAGCTATGTTATTGATAATAATTATGCAATTGGTTGTAGTCCTTCTAATTTACCATTTTTTGGTAATGGCAATGATTTTTTATTTAGAGTAGATGGTAGCATTAGTAGTAAACCATATGCTTATGGTAACATCAATCTAGTACATGGTAGTAGATTTGATGAATTGAGAGTTTTTCAAATAATTGATAAAAAATAAATAAATGTTAGATTATTATTATATTTTCTTTATATATTTTTCATAAGATTTTCATTACAATAAATGTAAGACCAGATTTAATTAATTGAATATGTTAGTTTGATAAACTATTACCAGTGTGGGAAGACAAAAATAATAAAAAAAATTTCATTGGACATTCAACCAACTTTATGAACTTCTGGTCTTTGCTATGAAAAAGTGAGGGGTTGAAGACAACTTTGTTCAAGTCCTCCCTCATTTGATCAAGTAGGGGACATGACATTTCCTTTGAGCAACTGAATCAGTTCAATTATCCATGTCATTTAATGTTGCACATATATTTTCACCTTTTTCATGCTTCTCAAAGAAATTGGTTTATTTAAAATCCATGGATGAAAGACTTTCTGCAATCAGCAATTATTATATAGCTGTAAAGAATTTCTGAAGAATTACTTCAAAAACGAATTAAACACTTTTCTATGAGCAATAACTTAATTGTGGTAAAAATATAAATTATTCTTTATTCTTTTTAAAATAATATTGCATTTATAATGATAAGAGATACAGACAACCTCATCTATCTGAATATTCCTAAACATAATTAGTAAAAATACTTAATATATAAAATTAATTTGTTTGCTATTTGTACATTATATTGCATTGTTAATATCATTAATATAATTAATGGTTTCTTTAATAATTCTATTGAGTGATAACAGTTTTCCACATAGCTGGATTAAAGATTCTGCTGATTCATTTAAATCAGATGTTTTTGTTTTTAATGGAACATTTAATTTCCCAAATTCTCTCATATTCATGATAAAAATGTAAATTGCTATAATAGCAATAAATCAACTAATAAAATTTCTATTTTGAAAAATGGCTAGCCAAAAAAAAAATCTCAAGAAACAGAAATTCAATAAAATTTAATTTTTGATTATTTTCAAAGTCCAAAATTCTGCTGAAACTCTAATAAACAATTAGTGTGTGAGTTGATTTCTGGCAGACAACTATATGCTGTTGTGGCTTCTCTGCCCCATATATGATCTGACTTTTTGATTTTTTCCAATATTCATTTGTAAGTGGTTTACCAATTCATCATAAAAAAGGTTGCTCTTTTATAAATGTGAAACAAGCATATACTGTATGTGATGAGATCTGCATTTTGTGGATAACTTATCTTTAATGATTATTTTCTCATTATTTCATTTGCCCCTTCAAGATATTTGTTTATTTTGCCACATATGAATTGGTTTCTTTGTTATGCTGATTAATGTAAAGTCTGGAAAGATAGTGTCTCGTAACAATATCAATTTTCTATGAATTGTGATGATTAATATAATAAATCATGTGTGACAAACCATAAAAATTACTAAAAAAGGAAATGTCACAGAGTGCTATCTTTCCAGACTTTATGGTATACTCTTTCAGATATTGATCTCAAGGCTTACTTCATCTTTTCAAATCCTGAATAATTATTACAGATCCTAAAAATTATTGTAAATAATTTAATTTTTGTAAATAAATAATTTAATTAATTAATTTAAATATATAATTGCTTACTTTACAGTGTTGGTTCTTTTAACTAAATGGTTCATGCAAGATCTTACATGTAATTTAAAGATGACTCCTCAATTAATTGCAACTAATTGCAGCATATAAAAATTGAATTGTGGTTGTGGTTGTGACATATGAAAATTGAATTGCGGTTAACTGTAGTTCCCATCTTTAATGCAATTCCCAATATATTTTTATTGATGTTGAATTAATCTTCTCGCAAAAGTAAACAAATAGGTGAAAAAATCTAATTGCAATTTATTCCATCCTGGTGGTGGTGGTTGCTTTAATTCATCAAAATATGCCAATATTGATTTTTTCCAAATTCTTTGAATTGTATCATATTTATCATCCATTATTATTATTATTACTAATATAATATTATTAATAAAAGGAACTGTGTTGTATACAAAATTCTGGTTGGCTAATTTGAATTCACGCGCGTGAATTTTTAAATTCAAGAGTGTTATACGGGTAATATTAAATTTGTGCTTCCCAAAAAATTTGTTTAAATGAGTTTTTATTTTTATTTTTATGATAACAGCATACACAAGACTGAAATTACTATTGAAAAAATTATTAGTATTAACACCTTTGACACCTTTAAACCCATTCACATAAAAATTATTTAACCTACAGACGAGAGTTTTGTCATAATCGGAAGTTGTAGTAAAATTGACAATTCCGTTAGTAATGATGAAAATAACATTATTGTGGTAAATAATGATAGAAAATAATCTGAATATTCAAAATATCGACGAAAATGATAGTGATGAAAATGGAAGGAATTCAAAACGTACCAATGAAATAGTCAAGGAGTAATAAATAAATGGAAAATTTTCTTTTGTTAATAAAAATTATTCTAAAACGTGATGCTGTTCAAAAACTAAACCAGAGTGTAAAATCCTTGGGATATCCGGTGACCCACATTTATTAAAGTTTAGTCCCAGTCTATTATTACTTTGAGGGTGGATTGATACTTCAAGGTTTATTAAAATAATTAGAAGATAGTTTATTTATTATCAGAATTTTTAAGTCTTTAAATACATGTTTTTGAAATGCTAAATAAATTTTGATTCGTTTCATTCGATTTGATTTGATTCTGATTCGAATCAATATATACTATCTAAATTAATCCAATGAAAATTCTTTGTTTTGACGAATTGTAATTAAATTCGCATTTTGCCTCACGTGTAAACTTCGTTGAAACACCTTAAAATATAATATCTATTTTAAATTTACAATTCTGTTGGGAATCTGATTCCTTCAATTTGATTCGTTCGTAGCTTTGATACTATTTGTTGTTGTCAAACTCAACATTATTATTAACATATATATTCATCGATGATTAATGCTATTATGCTCTTCCATTCCATTGAACGCGAAGCATCCTATAATCTTATGTTTCTTAAACAAAATCCGTTATTCCAAGAAGAACCTTTTCTTTTAATTACTTTTTTCCAAAACAATTTTTGCAAGCAACTATAATTTACACCGTATATTATTGGTATGATAATAAGTAAAAATGGTTTAACCGGGGGTACCTTGCTTGCAGGAAATATTTATGTGCTAATGCAAGAAAAGTTTAGCACTTTTTATCAAGCCAGAAGGCTTGACATGCATAATTATGGAGATTTTTGGTTGCGGAAAACTCAAGTGATTAATCAAGAAATTTTGAATTTTATTGCGTCAATTCATTATTACAATGGTTTTCTAATTTAAATGGTTTACTAATCAGATTATTTTTCTTTGCCAGTACAAAATGAATATTCAGTATAATTTGAACCTGTTCTATTTTCCCCAACTCTTTGTGATCACTTAACATTTAGCTTGCATATTTTTTGCCTTTTCTTCATCACCTCCAATGCTTGTTTGTTCTTCACAAACCGGCTTTGGAGTCAGATAATTTATTCAACTTGCGAGTTACTTGCGAGCGGAACCTCGAACATGGTGTGAGGTTTTAATATGTAAATTTCTTTTTATTCTTACATAATTCTTTTAAAAAATCTTCTTTTGCTATGTTAGCAAAAACTTGATTAATAGTAGGTGCTGCTGTAGCATTATCATCATCACCATCGCTCACATTAAATAAAAAAAAATAAAGTTTATAAATATTTAAATGATTTCTGACATCATTGCAAATAGTGTTTTTTTCTCATGCTCTAGTTCCCTAATAATATTTATTCAGATGATATCGTTTTTAAATGCTTTGTTTATTTTTGGGAAATTAATTTTAGAATAAAGCGGAGCTTCATGAGAATTAGACAAGCATTGATTAATGGACTACTAGAAAGTAGTATTTGGTATAGCTTTAATAAGATATTATTTTAATACGAAATTTAAATTTAAACATATTTATTGTCAATGTTTGTTTTTTCAATAAAATTACCATAATTAGCAATTAATCCATCAAAAAGATGGTGAACTCGTATTCCAATTTCCTAATCTTGCAAAGTGAGACGATGACAAACAAATGGCACGACGGTTGAAAGAATAATGAATGAGTTTTCTTGGAAATCAAAGAATACTTTAAAGTTTCTCCATTATTAACAAAATTCACATTTCCTAAATAGATTGATGGATTGCTAGATGCATCTTTTATGTTTATTATATTCAAAACTCATTGTTTTAACAATCTGATAGTTTACCACCAAGTACGTTTCTACGTTTCTTATTTTTAGTAATTTCATAAAGTGTAACATTGAATATACAAACAAACACAAGGGTCATTCAGACAATTTCTTTGAACACTGTGGGGTCCTGCCATATATCTATTTTTATACTATTGAACACTGCCATTTATGGGAAGGGTAAAAGTCTCGAAAATTCTAATCAAGTTGTGAAATACTCCGGATTTCGGTAAAAAAATCTTTGATACTCCGAAATTTTCTAAAATAGGTTTATTACTCCAAAAAAATAAAAAAACATTACGATCATATCAATTATTAACGAAATAATAAAATTCAAAACTGTGACTACAAACAATTTTTGCAAATACAATTATCTTTGAATGCTCATTATCTTGCATTCCGTAAAGTTATTTTTACTAAACCTTAATTTTTATAAGGAAAAATTTTTATGGTTTCTAATTCTGCTACACCATTTATAAGTATTATGATCATTCCAATATTATCATGAAAATGGGTACAAGCTATAAACATGGGACGTTATTTACACCACAATTAGTTATAAATATGATGCTTTGCACACAATTAGTCAACATTTTAGCAACAAAAAATCATACATACAAACACAATGTTTATAATATCATTTAGGACTAGTATGTTTTCTCAATTTTTCAAAAAAAGAAAAATTTCCCACCCTCGTTATCCTACTCATTTATATCACGTTAGTATTGGAGAAACTGGCGAACTTATAGTAAGTCTTACTTGATGATATTATTGATGAAGCAAACCTCGCCACTCTTAATTCATTATTTAATTTTTTATTCGTTTAGGGTTTACCAAAAGAATGGACTCTGGAGGCTCCTCATGCTTTTAGAAAACATCCAATCGCAAAAATAATTCCACAAACACAATCACCTGAACAACAGAATAATCCTCCTCCTCCAGAACCATATCCTCCTCCAATATCGCGTTCTCCTCCATTACCACAATCTCCTCTAATACATCCAAAATCAATATTAGGAAGAATAGGAAAGTCATCTTCAGCACCTACATCAACAGTAAAATCACATCATGCTCTATCTCAACAGGTTTTTTTTTTGAGAATTATAATAATTTTTTAAAACAAAAAAAAACATTATTTTAATATCTATTTAATTATTCGATAGAAGGAGAAAGAAAATAATGTATTTTCTGAATGGATTGATAAAGCAGTATCTAACAATTACTTAAAACTTCACAAGTATGGAGTATTTAGTGATACTAGAGAAATTGGTAGTGGTTCCTTTGGAACTGTTTATTGTGCATATAATATCCAATACGCAAAATATATGGTTTTAAAATCACTTAAAATCAATAATAAATTCACTACTGAACAAATGCTTAAACAAATTGTAAATGAGGTAAAATTATTATTAAATATTAATTTTTAAAAAAAAAAAAATTTTGATTTTAACAAATTAAACACACACACACATATATATTGATTTAAAATGTATATATGTTGTAACTTTTGCTCATTTAGCTTCAACAACATCGACAAGTTGAAATGCATGATAATGTCATAGGTTTTTATGGTGTAACAAAAAATGGTATTTTTATTTTTATTTTTTTTGATTTTGATTTATAGATATATATACACTGTATATAATTAACTTAAAAACAAATGTTTTATTTTTAGCTTTAGGTGAATATATGTTAGTTATGGAATATGCTAATAATGGAACTTTACATCAATATTTATCCAAGAATTTTAGTAAAATGGATTGGAATATAAAGTTAAAGTTTGCAAAACAAATCTCAAGCGCAATACATTGTCTTCATTCAAATAATATAATTCATAGAGATTTGGTAAATGTTTAATTAAAATTCTTTTTTTTCTTTGCAAATTATAAAATATATTAATTATTTTATTAATTAATAACAATATCAATAAAAAAGCATTCCAATAACATTTTCATTCACTCAAATGATATTAAACTTGGTGATTTTGGCTTGTCAAAGTCAATAGCTGGTGCCACAACATCATTTTCCAAAGCATTCGGCTCTGTAAGATATTCTGATCCTGAATTTTTAAAAGATCCTGATAATTACAAACGAACAGAAGCATCAGATGTTTATAGTGTGGGGATGCTCATGTGGGAAATATCTAGTGGAAAACTACCATTCCAAAGTCTTAATTCACCATATAATGTTAGTCATAAAGTTTTTAACGGTGGAAGAGAAAACATAATCCCAGGAACACCTAAAATTTACGTCGACATCTATACAGGTATATAATTAATGCTTTTCTTCTTTTTATTACTAAATCAATTTCATTCATTCATTAATTCCCATTCATCTATTAGCATGCTGGCACGCTAATCCTATAAAACGTCCTAAAATGTCACAAGTCGTAAAACTTTTAGATAAAGTTGACATCAATGATCCAATACAAGTCGTCGATGATGTTCCTTCACCAGATTTGACAACAAACATAAATGACCCACCATCGAATTCCACGGAGAATCAAATTATCGGGTCAAAAACATATTTGTTTGAAATCACTAGTACAATGGAAAGAAGACTTTATGAGGAATAATTTATGTAATAATTGGACATATATAAACATTATATAAATATCATTTTTGTAAATTAGTTTATTTCATATCTTTAGATTATTTAATTCGAGAATTGTATATATTCATTTGTATGTTTATTTTATATAATTTTATTATTTTCAATTTATATAAACACATTCTTTAACTTTTAATTTTTGAACCATACATGTGATTTTGCTAAATCAATTGACATGTCATGTGATCCATATTGGGATCGCCGCCCCTCCGAATTAACGAGATTATTCGCTTGTTTGACTATAATTGCGATCATGACCACTAAGGCTCCGAGCGATTCGAACCAAATTTTTAAAAATAAAACGTGCTTATCACTAGAATAAGACAAATACAGTCAAACCTCGTTTCAATAACTCTATTCCCCTATAAAAAATTATGTGTAGATACTTGATAATATATGCGGAATGAATACATGTGGAAAAATAGTATTTTTGATATTATTATGGAAACCATGCGGGAATGTTTTAGGTAAAAAGGGACCATAAAGTTTTGAGTAAATTTGAAAAAAGACTATTATAGAAACTTTAAAGAACAATATCTCAAGATGTTAATATGCAAAATGATATGATTTCTAAAATTGCTTTTTTCACGTTATGGTCCAGGCCTCTTTTCCTACATAATAATGAAAATGCATTTTAATATGGGAAACACGTAGAAACATTTATTTCATATTAGCATTAGTCTATTTGGATACAGAAAGGTTCATTGACATGTACAGCGCGTAACGAAAATAATGGCGGCGAATCTTTTTTTTAAAAACTTCAAAATTTTGACTTGAAAACTTGGACGTGCAATTTTTCTAATGCAAAAATATACACATTAATTATACAACAAATCATATCAACTTAAGTTTCAGAGACTACGTATATAAATTTCCGATTATTTTTGTAAAAAGATTGAATCAGACAGCCATTATCCTGCTTATGTTCGAGAGTGCTCGTTTCTTTAAGCCTTTTGAGTTTATGCCCAACAGTACGAAAGTGAATATTCACTTCCTGATGTATTTTTCCTTGATGAATGAGCATTTTTAGGCTAATGATTAATGTGAAGTTAGACATCAATCTTTATGTAACACATACAAGATGCTAGAGATAGAAAGTAGAAGTAGATGAGACATTTTATTTTATAAATGTTTTCGATGGGTACGTATTACTTTACCGACAATCACTTTACCGACGTATTATTTTACCGACAATCATTTTACCGAAAGTTCATTT